AGCAGTAATATAATAAAGAGATAGAATATATAAAAGAACTAAAAAAAAGGTAACCAGATACTCTATAACCTAAGGCAGGCTTAAAAATTTTAAGTTGTGCAACTTATAACCTATCTCACATAATTCTCTATCTAGTATACAATCCATTTTTAGAATTTAGGACCTATAGTACTGAGATCATATTTTAGACTAAATAATAGACAAAATACATAAATTTGTTATTATACAAAGTACATGACTTTGTCAATAAACAAAATATGTAACTGTGTTTACTGTATAAGGTTATATATTCACAGAGTAATTCTGAAAATAGAAGGAGTAAACAATACTGATCTTTTGTAGAGGAGAACCTAAATTTTCTACTTTTGTCAAAAAAAAATAGAAGATTAGAAGAAAAAAGCTTGTGATATAATATTGTTTTCTAGAACCTAAGGGAGTATGTAGACAAAATAATTTATTATCCTTTTCTTAAGTCTTCTTTTACCAACTTCATTAACAAAAAATGACTTTGCATATCTTTACTAAAATTTTTTATACAAGGGCTCTCTTCTTCTACTAGTTATCTTATATAATATCACTTTTAGCTTGCATGTTAAATATCTAGAAGAGTCTCTAAGAGTAAGCAGTTGACTTCTGCAAAAACCATTGTATTGTATAAGAAACTTCTTCATCTTTCCATAATAAATTTTTGTTTTTTTTTTTTTGCTTTTTTGAAATTTGGGAAAAAGAATCATCAGAAAAAGTTGTAAACTTTGTTTGAATTCAAACAAATTATTAACAGTAGTTAGAATTTTTAACTATAAATAATATTAATAATATATTATTAAATTTTTAATTATTAATTAAAAACTCAGAGATCCTATCACTACTAATAGCTAATAAAATTAAATTAACTCAGTTTTATAAAATAATAGTCAAGATTGAATTTATATAGAAAATTTGTAAAGAATCTGATTATTGCAAACTTAAACCTATCCTATACCTATAGAGTATTGGTTAGTACAAATATTAATAACTAATCTATCAATAGAAAAACAAATTATTGTTAGTTATAGTTTTTTAGAAGATAAAGTTATTTGTAAAGTTAGAAATAGAGGAGAATTGATTCTCAAAATTTTTGAGATAATTATTAAGAATCGATTCTTTATAAGGTTTGAAAATTTTACTAAGCTAATTCGATGATTGATTCTCACCCCTATTCTCCATACTGTATTACAGGACATAGTTATTATTGTTAGTTTGGATACGGACATAACGAGATTATGGTCGGTTACGACGTTATGCACGGGTTAACATATAGGTGAAAGACAGTTTCCATGACGAAAAATTATAGAAGTCACAAGGCTAAAATTATTGTGAGTCACTGGACTTCTACGTGACATTAGGTCACGGAAATTAACTTGATGATATACTTGTTTCGTTGTTCTTAAATTAAAAAAAGGAGAGAAACAGTAACGGTAAAAGAGAAAATGCGATGCTCGCAAAAGTCCGATCACGTGATATCAGGTGGCTTGTTCGGCGACCCATCCATACTGTATTACAGAACATAGATGTTATTGTTAGTTTGGATGCGGATGTAACAAAATTATTGTCGGTTACAACGGTTATGCGCGGGTTAGGAAAAACATGGTAGCATGTGAAAATCTACAGACGAAGGGATAATATAATTATTATTATTCGTCATGGAAGCTGTCCTTTGCGTATATGTTATGCGCTCCAGGCAAATTTGCCTGAAATACAGTTTAAGGGATTATACAAATAACAGTATCATACATACATAGTAGTTTATACAGTACACATTTTTGTAATACAATTTGCTATCAATAGTATATGCTTCCCAATTTTTCTATCAGTCGAGTTTAATACATTTTAAATACTAAAATAAATAATATTAAATAAGTAAATATTTTAAGACAAATTAGAATAAACATTAAAAGAATACGTATTGATTAATAATTTACAATATGTAAGCATTGTATGCTATCAATAGTATGTATGTGCTTCCCCCATTATAAAGTTAACTATATTTACATGTATTTTAAATAATAATATTAAATAAGTAAACTATTTAAGACAAATTAGAATTAGAATACTTCAAGTCTTCTTTGAATCAATACGATTACTACTATAATCCTTAGTATTTAAGAATAAAATGAAAAAGTTTTTAGTTGTAATTATTTTTATATTAAGTTATTACAGTTTAGTTTATTGTAACGTAATTCGAAATGCTCATGAAAGAAAAAAAATACGTGGAGTAAATCTTGGAGGATGGTAAATTATTTAAAATAACTATCTAAATTCCTTAATTAAAAATGTTAAAAATGACAAAATTCATTTAATTGACTCGTAAAAGGTTGGTTCTAGAGCCATGTATGTACAATATATTATATTATTAATATAAATTATATCATATCTCAGATATTTAGTTTTTAACACTTTATCAGGGATTAGACCAAGTCTTTTTGAGCAATTCAAACCTCAAGACCAGGTTGTCGATGAATATACATTTACTAAATTTCTGGGTTATGAAGAAGCTAAAAGACAACTTAATAGGCATTGGACATCTTGGGTAACAGAGAATGATATAGAAAAACTTGCATCATACGGACTAAACCATCTTAGGTATGAAATTGTTAATGTAATAAAATTATTAGCCGTTATTATATTTATCATTTAAAATTTTGTGTAGAATACCTGTTGGTTATTGGGCTTTCGACAAGATACCAAATGAACCATTCGTCACGGATTCTTTTAAATATTTACTAAAGGCAGTTAGATGGGCGAAGAAATATGGCCTGAATGTCATTGTCGATTTGCATGCTGCTCCAGGTTCCCAGGTAAATGGTAGTTATTATAATATGGGTTATTATTGTGAATTAATATTTTAATCTATTTATTAGAACGGTTTTGATAATTCTGGTAGACAAGGTCCAATTGAATGGCAAAATGGAGATAATATACAACGTACACTTAATGTTATCAAAAATATAACCGAAACATTCAGTATTCCTGAGTTTAAAAGCACAGTCACCTTCATTGGCGTCCTTAATGAACCTAAGTATATTTTTTTTAATTTGTGAATTTAAGAATAATGGTTTAATAATTTTATTAACCAATTATATATATATTATTAGATCTATTATAAATAATCAATTTAACAAATTTTTTAAAGATGCCTATAAAATTATTCGTGAAATAAATAATAATATTTTATTATTATATGATGCTACTTTTTTATCTTTTGATGATTCGATAAAGTTTATAGATTCTTCAGATTTCAATCATGTTGTATTAGATACCCATATTTATAATGGATTTTCTTGCGATTTTATAACAATGAGCATTAATACTCAATTTGCTCATGTCTGTTTAAATGAATATAATATTTCTTCCACTAATCAAGCAATTTGGAGAAATGTTGGAGAATGGTGATTAAAAAACTATATATATATATATATATATATTTTTTTTTATTATATTAAATACTTTTAAATATCTACATATTAAATTCAATTTATGTTGATGTGTAGGAGTCTTGCTACAACTGATTGTACGAAATGGTTACATGGTTATGGTAATAACTCAACTTGCAACTATACTAAGAGTACGTGTAAATCTGAAGACGATTATTTAAGTTGGACTCCCGAATATAAAAAATTTTTAAAACAATATGCATCAGCACAAATGGATGCTTATGAAGCTGGGTAAATTTCCAATTTATATTTACATTAATTTTTTTTGTAGGCAAGTTTTTTTTTTTTTTGTTAATTATTCTGTTTCCATAAATAGGTTAGGTTGGAGCTTTTGGAATTTCAAAACCGAAAGTTCTCCACATTGGGATTTTATGCTTGGAGTTGAACAAGGATGGATTCCACTTACTCCTGAGCAACGAACATATGACTGTACAAATACTTAATCAATATACCGATAGGTTGCCAATTTTGGTTCTATTTATGTTCAAAGCTATTAAATTTTTTAGAATTTTGTTCTTTTTTTCAAAAAATATAAATATACAAAGAAGTTTCTGTAACATACATTATATAAGTAAAGATCCGTAATAACTTGGTCATGACATTTTCTTCTGAGTATAATAAGTCTCACAGGTTGAATGAATTAATTAAACTAGTAAAAATTCAGACACATCTTGGAAATTCAAGATCCTGATACAGTATATATCTGATTTTTATTGGTTTAAATTCATTCAACTTGTGTCTGGTATTAAATATTTACTGCC